GAACTGTCACAGTTGGCATCAGAGCCATATGCTGACAGGTTGGGTAATGGATGGATATTGTTAAGCATGAACGTTTCCGCACTATATGTATTCGTATTAATTTGATTTTGGTATCTAGTATCGCTTTAAGGTTGAACGTTTATTGCTTGAGTCCTAGCGAGAGTTAGGCAGGCGTTCCGCGGATACCCTTTGGTGCGCCTTAGGGAGAAGTGGGGACGTCACACTAGAAGGCGACGCGTTGGATTGGTATTCAAATTTGAAGCCTGAGAATATGAGGTCATGGATGGATTTGTCAACCGCTTTTGTAAGCAGTATGAATACAATTGCGAGCTCGCTCTGACGAGGACCACATTGGAGGGGACTAAGGGAAACCATCGGAGGACCATAAGACATATGCGAAGAGATGGAGGAAATTGGCCGCCAAGGTGGAGCCTCTTATGACTGAAAACAAGATTGTTCGCACGTTCATCAAAACTCATGACCCACCTTACTTTGAGGAGATTTTTCGAATGACAGGGTGTTCCTTTGCAGAGATTGTCAATAAGTTGGAAGAGTATGACGAGTTTATGAGAGCAGGCAAGATTGTTAATGTTTCAGCTTTAAAGTCGCAGTTGAAAGCTATGCAAAGCCAAAACAGCAGCAGTAAAAAGTCTCAGTTTAAGAAGAAAGACGAGGAAGCTTCCTTTGTTTGGAACCAAGGTTCTTCTTCCCGGCCTACATACCAACGAAATCCCGCCTACTCACCTCGTTACTTATACCAACCACGCTCTCGACCTGTCTACAATACCACAATCAACCACCCCCGTCTCGACCAAATTACCCAAACACACCGTCAACGCCATTTCACATTTCCCCACCGAAACTTCCAAATTAGACCGCGCCCTCTTTCAACCCAAGACCTATTCCACCCCCAACCCTAGTTACCACTATCAACAAACCAGTGACACCCAAAATCCAACCCCATACCGAACCTTCACCAATCTAGGTCGGCCCGTTGACCAATTGTATGAGCAATTGAAAGCTGCTGGAAAAATTGGCATCGTACCCCCTAAGACCTATTCCAAAGGATTTCCCATTGGTTATGATCCTCAGTCATTTTGTGCTTATCATTCGGGAGCCCCTGGACATTCAACTGCCAATTGCTGGTGCTTAAGCATAAAATTCAAGACATGATTGAGTCCGGAGATATAGTCCTGAGGAGGAGGGAGGAACAAGGTCCAAAGGTTAGCAAAAATCCTCTTCCTACACACAAGGACACCGTGGGAGTTATTACTATTGATGAAGAGATTGAGGAACCTACACAATTTATTATAATGAAGCTGAGACAGTAAGGGTCATTGAAGAACCATTCATATTGGAGGAAGAAGCTTATGAAGTCAAGAAAAATACCGGTCCGTTTATTCTGGAAATGGTGCCTTTCGAATGTGAGCCTTCGGAGCTGGAGGTACTTGAATTGCCTGAGCAACCTCCTATCCTTAATCTGCAAGAGGTCCCATGAAATTATAGCTAGTCCACGCTATTAATTGGAGGAGAAAAGGTGCCCAGAAAGGAAGTGGACGCTATTACTAGATCTGGAAGAATCATAGGGGAACCCGCAGTTGATGAGCCCTCGAAAGCGAAAGAAAATGCTGTTCTGACAAAACCAACTGTGACTGATGAAAGGCCTTCAATTTCCTGAAGATGCTGAAGAAAAGTGAGTATAAGGTGGTCGAACAATTGGACAAGATGCCCGCTCAAGTTTCTATATTGAATTTGCTTCTAACCTCGAAACTTCATCGAGAAGCTTTACTCAAGGTCTTAACTGAGGCTCAAGTGCCTAAGAATATTCCTGTGGATAAATTCACTCAGGTAGTCGAACATGTTTTGGCTTCAAATTAAATCTCTTTTTCTGATGAAGATTTGACTTCGGATGGGATTGGACACAATAAAGCATTGTATATCTCAGTCCGTTGTAATGGGAAGTTATTGCCAAGGGTCTTGATAGACAATGGATCTGCTCTTAATATCTGTCCTTGGAACACATTGGTTAAATTGAGATTTCAGGAAGCTAAACTTCGGCCGTCTGCCATTGTGGTGAGAGGATTTGATGGCGCAAAAAGGGAATCAATGGGGGAAGTGGATTTAGTGCTGGAAATCGGACCTGCCAGTTTCAAGTTATGTGCCAAGTCATGGACTTCTCGAGTGTTTATAATGTTCTTCTCGGACGGCTTTGGATTCATACTTCAGGCGCTATACCTTCTTCACTCCATCAAATGTTGAGATTTGTGGTGAATGGCCAGTTGATTACGATATTTGCTGAGGAAGATTGCACTATGATCGTTAATCCAGCATTGGAAGATAAGGGCGATAGAAAAGCTTTGGTTTCCCATCACCATGTAGCTGACATTGTTTCGGTGGGTAGGGCATCCAAGGACAAGGCGGCAGTAGAAATGAATTTACCTGAAACCAGTGTTATGATGGCTAAAGAGATGATTCGAGGAGGATATGAGATGGGCAAGGGCCTCGGGCGCAACCTACAGGGAGTTTTGGAACCAATAGAGCTTCAAGGAAAGAAAACACCTTCGGATTGGGGTTTCAACCTACTATCAAGGATAAGAAGAAATGATGAATCGCAAAAAGGCGGAGAAGGAAGGAAGGCAACTTGTCATGAATATCCCACCATTATATTGTACTTTTCCTTACCCATCAGAGGTGATTAGAGTTGAAATAGACCCAATCGAGGAAGTGGAGGTTGGATTGTCTGAGCTATTTGTGGGGGTTGCTTCTGAGAGGGAGCTATTGGAGGACCCAGAATTTCCAGAGATGTCTACCGAAACAATGAAGAATTGGACCAGTGATTTCCTTCCCTCTCAAGGGAATTTCGGTATATCTGGGGAGTTGCCTTTGGTCGCCATGAAAGAACTTATTCGCATTGTTTATCTTTTGTCTTTCAGTTTTGTAAATAGTTTTTAATCAAATGCTTTTCAATCCAAGTCTTATGTCGAATCTTTTGTTAAGTCGCATGTTATGATCCTTTACCTTCAAATTCAATGAAATGCACAGTGTTTATTTTTCAAATTGATTTGCTTACACATTGTTTTATCTATTTTATTCTTTTTCAGATGGCCAAAAATAAAACACATTGACCCTTTGGATATCACTATTCTGGAATTTGATGATTGTGACCTCGATATCCCTCACGACTTTGAAATTTTGGAATCCGAAATTCAAGACAAGAGCGATAACGAGGAAGAATCTGAGTCTTTATTAAAGGATCTTGAACAATATGAGGAGAAATCCAAATTGAACTTAGAAGAAACAGAAGTTGTTAATATTGGCACTGAGACTGAGGTTAAGGAGATAAAAATTAGCATTCATTTGAATAAGAAACAGAGAAAATAAATGATCGAGTTTTTGACCATATTTCAAGATGTGTTTGCTTGGTCCTATGATGATATGCCTGAAATTTCAACAGATATAGTGGTCCATCGATTACCGACTGATCCAAATTTTCACTAGTGAAACAAAAACCTCGCAAGTTTAAGCCAGACATGAGCCTCAAAATTAAGGAGCAAATCGAGAAGCAGCTCAATGTAGAATTATTATGGTGTCTCATTATCCCATTTGGCTTTCAAACCCTGTACCTGTTCCAAAGAAAAGTGGAGAAGTGCGAGTATGTGTCGATTACAGGGATCTTAATAAAGCCAGCCCGAAAGATGATTTTCCGTTGCCGAACATTCATATTCTTCTGGACAATACCGCAGGGCATGAGATTGAATCATTTGCTGACTGTTTCGCTGGATATCACCAGATCTTAATGGCAGAGGGGACAGGGAGAAAACTGCTTTTATCACATCCTGGGGGACATTTTGCTACCGAGTAATGCCGTTTGGATTGAAAAATCCGGCGCCACTTATCAAAGGACTATGACCACCCTGTTCCACGATATGATTCATAAGGAGATGGAGGTTTATGTGGACGATATCATTATCAAATCCGAGAGAGCGGAGGATCACTTGATTGACTTGGAAAGGTTATTTGAAAGATTGAGAAAATATGATTGAAACTAAACCCTGCAAAGTGTGCATTCGGGGCCCCTGCCGGAAAGTTATTGGGATTCATTGTCAGTAAGAAGGGTATAGAGATAGACCGGCAAAAATTAAAGCCATTCGTGAGATGCCAGTGCCAAAAACGCAAAAGGACGTGAAGAATTTTTAGGAAAGATTAACTTTATCGGAAGGTTCATCGCTCAGTTGACCCACACATGTGAGCTCTGTTCAAGTTATGAAGAAAAATGTGCATTGCATTGGAGTGAAGAGTGCCAGCAGGCGTTTGATAAAATTAAAGACTACTTGTTGCACCCCCCGGTCTAGTACCACCCAAGCCGAGTCGACCATTGATTATGTACTTGTCAGTGCTCGACGAGGCTGTGGGATGTGTTTTGGGGCAGCATGACGATTCTGGAAAGAGGGAGCAAGCTATTTATTATCTCATCAAGAAGTTCACGTCTTATGAGGCAAAATATACATTTCTTGAAAAGAGTTACTGTGCATTGGCCTGGGCAGCTCAGAAGTTGAGGCATCATTTGCTTAGTCATACCACTTATCTTATCTCTCGGTCAGACCCTTTGAAGTATTTGTTGGAAAAACCAATGCCAACTGGACGCATGGCTAAATGACAGATGATTCTTTCGGAGTTTGACATCATTTTTACCACGCAAAAGGCCATCAAGGGTCAGGCGATAGCGGATCACTTGGCCGAAAACCTAAGGAGGGACGATTATCAACCGCTTCACACTTATTTTCCAGATGAGGAGGCCCTGTTCGTGGTACAGCAGAAGACATGAATGAAAAATGTTCTGAATGGAGGCTATTTTTTGATGGGCATCAAATTCCTTTGGAGCCGGTATTGGAGCTGTTCTAGTATCACCTGAAGGGAAGCATTATCCTGGTTCCGCTAAACTACGATTTTTCTGCACTAACAATATGGCCGAATATGAAGCTTGCATTTTTGGGCTAAAAATGGCTTTGGAAATGGAGATTAAGGATTTAATAGTGTTCAGTGACTCCGATTTGCTCGTGCATCAGACTCTTAAAGAGTGGATCACTCGGGATTCAAAGATCGTGCCTTATCATTGTAGTTTATTGAATTTGGCAAACAAATTTAGGAGTTTGGAGTTCAGGCATATTCCACGTGCCAGAAATGTCTTCGCCGATGCTTTGGCCACCTTATCTTCGATGATTCAACATCCAGACGAGTTGGTAATTGAACCTATCCACATTCACTTGCAAGAAAAACCTGCTCATTGCCTAGTTGTGGAAAAATCCCCCGATGGCCGTCCCTGGTACAGTGACATTAAGGAATTTCTCAAAACAGGGTCCTACCCTCCTGAGGCCGATATGACTGCCAAAAGCTTCTTGCGTAGATTATCATCTAAATTCTTCTTGAATGGAGAAGTGGTATACAAAAGAACGTCAGATTTGGGCCTTCTGAGGTGTGTTGATGAGGACGAAGCAGAATACTTGATGAAAGAACTACATAGTGGAGTATGTGGATCACATATGAATGGCCACTTGTTAGCAAAGAAGATCATGAGGACCGGATATTTTTGGCTTACCATGGAGCATGATTGTGTAGTTTTTGTTAGGAAGTGCATCAAATGTCATTGCACGGAGATGTTATGCACACTCCCCCACAGAATTGCACAGTATGACTGCTCTTGGCCATGTTCAATATGGGCATGGATGTGATTGGAGCCATTGACCCTCCCGCTTCAAACGGGCATCGATTTATTCTGGTGGCAATTGAATACTTTATCAAGTGGGTTGAAACGAGTCTTATAAGCATGTGACTAAGAAAGTGGTGACGGACTTTCTAAGAAAGCATATCATTTGTCGTTTTGGAGTGCCGAGACATTAATCACTGATAATGCCAAAAATCTCAACAATGACATGGTGGATGGTTTGTGCAAACAGTTCAAAATCAAATCGAAACTCCTCTATTTATAGGCCACAGATGAATGGAGCAGTAGAGGCTGCAAATAAGAAGTGTGAAGAAAATAATCCGTAAGATGATTGAGAGACACCGTGATTGGCACGAGAAGCTCCCTTATGCATTAATGGCATATAGAACTGCTATTCAGACTTCTACTGGGGCAACTCCCTACAATCTCATGTATGGAATGGAAGCAGTTTTGCCAGCCGAAGTCGAAATCCCTTCTTTGCGCATTTTAATGGAGGCCAAACTGGAGGAGGCTGAGTGGATTCAACAACGTCATGAGCAGTTGTCTTTAATTGATGAGAAAATGTTAATGCCATTTGTCATGGTCAATGTTATCAAAAAAGGGTAGCCCGTGCTTACAATAAGAGGGTCAGACCACGAATATTCACAGAAGGAGATAAAGTGTTGAAACACATTTTGCCAGTACAAGAGGAAGCTAAGGGGAAATTTGCACCAAATTGGCAAGGCCCTTTTATTGTCCAGAAAATTTTGCTCGGGGAGCGCTCATTCTTGCAGAAATGGATACCAATCAATTTGGATATGTGTAAGAAATTTTTCATATGATAAATGAAATTTTCCTTTTAGGGTTTAATGTAAAGAATGGAATGAAAAGTCAGGCCTTCTTCCTTTCCAATCAAACATTCTATCCCTAGTTATCCTTTTTGAGCATTCAGAGCAAATTATTTCGTTTGGAATCCCCTGAGAATCGCAAACCCCACACTGGGGCAAGTTTTGAGTTGAAAAAGCTAAGAAGGAAAAGAAGGAAAAAAGAAAAGAGAGGGTTCAAATGGTAAAAGCGATAGAGGAACAAAATGAAGAGAAAAATGAAAAGAGGAGGATCTCGATTGAGAATAAATTGGGACAATTATTAGTAGGCATAATTTAAAGATGCGATCTCAGGAAATCTAAACATTCATAAGTCCGCTTTCAAGCCTTAATTCTTTTCTAAGCACCCCACCAGACCCCATTGCAAAAACCTAAAAATCCTGACTTCTGTTCTTTATATTGTCTTTTTAGGACAATTTCTAATCAAGTGGCACATGATGTCAAAAACACCTTCACCTATTTTGCAAGGGAAGGATTGTTATACTGATGCCATTATTTCTTAAAACACATTTCTAGATTAATACGGGCGATAGACAAGATTTGTTTGTTAGGTGAAAACCCGCAAGGGCACCTTAGGAAAAAGAAAGAAAAAGAAAAAAAAGAAAAAAAAGAAAAAAAAGAAAAAGAAGAAGGAAAAAGGAAAAAGAAGAAGAAAAAGGAAAAAGAAAAAAAAGTGAAAGGAAAACAAAATGGGCGAGGGCAACCTTAGTGAAAACCCAAAAGGGCGCTGAGGTAGGGTTTTACAAGGAAAAGTGAGCGTGGATCCAAAGTGCTGGTGACTTAGTTCATTGGAGATTCTCCTCATATTGTGGTTCTGTTGTTAAGCATTTGAACTCCGAAGAGATGATATCCAAAGGGTCAAGTGTAGCACTTGGTTCGAAAACCAAAGTGTTTGATTTATCAAACACGAAATTTGAGTATACAAGCTTGTCTATTTGAAATGATTTTTCATGCAATAAAAGTAGAGGATTGTGTTTATATTGTTAAGATTTTTCATCACTATGTGCAATTAGAATGTTTTTCATGTGTTGCATGGTCACATTTGTCTCTTTCGCTCTATCAAATGGCAATCCCTATGATTTATCGAAAGAATAGATACTAGATGATACGTTGATCTACATATGAGAAATTATGAAAACTTGATATTGCTCGCAGGGCTAGATTGAAGTACCTGCTTCGCCACATAAGGAGTCCAAATGCTCATGTTTACACTTCTTTTGAAAAGGGGTTGATCGGATGGAGGCGGTATTATCTATCATTATTTCTTTTCTTGCAGGTCCGATAGTCCAATAAGCATGACACTGGGGCAATTTAGAGGAAGTTATTTGTCTCCTTTCTCAAAATTCTACGAAATGCTCGGGTTCTATCCCACTAACCGACCGATTATCAAGGCAGGCTCGGGTAGTCATCCACTGACCAAATGAAGAATGAAAGCAGGCTCGGGTATTCATCCCACTAACTAAATGAAGAATGAAGGCAGGCTCGGGTGTTCATCCCACTGACCAAATGAAGAATGAAGGCAGGCTCGGGTATTCATCCCACTGACCCAAGCGACGGCAGACTCGGGTAGTCATCCCACTGACCAAATGAAGAATGAAAGCAGGCTCGGGTATTCATCCCACTGACCAAATGAAGAATGAAGGCAGGCTCGGGTGTTCATCCCACTGACCAAATGAACAATGAAGGCAGGCTCGGGTAGTCATCCCACTGACCAAATGAAGAATGAAGGTAGGCACGGGTATTCATCCCACTGACCCAAGCAACGGCAGGCTCGGGTATTCATCCCACTGACCAAATGAAAGCAGGCTCGAGTATCCATCCCACTGACCTTTTGAGTTTACATGTTCCAACTCACGGCGGAATAACTGTAGGTAAGTTGTTGGTGTCTACGTTTTTTGTCTCAAATTTCTTCGAAACTCAAACAAAGAGAGGCAAACTGTAGACACCAAATTTTTACTTATTTCATTTTTATTTATTTTTCTTTTATTTTTATTTATAATTGTTAGCTATTTTTACTTATTAATCTCAGGATTTTAGTTTAGACATCTTTTTGTAGCTTTTTAGATACTAAATTTATTGATTTAGCTTTCATTGTTATTATTTTTCATTTTTTTATTTTTTTATTTTGATTAAAGGCATTTATCATTCATTTCTTAATTAGTCGCTTAATTACTCACAAAAATATATTTTAACTCTTTAGATTCAATCTATGAAATATACTCACAAAAATATCTTTTTGTTCGTTATCCTAAATTAATGGGAATTAGTGAAAATAAAAGGAAAATTGTCAATCAAAGTCAAAAAAAAACGCTGAACTCCCTAATAGTAGCGTACTAACAGAATGCAGAAAACAAAAATGCGGCTCCATTTTCCAGTTTGTTTTCCGGGCATTTTTGCCCATTTTTCTACTCCATCAGATTGGCATAGTACAAGGCCATCTGGCCTTTATCTTGAACCTCAATCTCATAAGGAACAGAGGCCATCCAATGGTGTAGAAATTAGAAGAAGGAAAACAGCAGCAGCTGTACACCGTGGATATTAGGATTCGGGTGCTTATAAGAAGCCTTGAAATGAGAAGGGATCAAGAAGGGGAGAACGTATGACGGCTGGGGTTTTAGGAAAAAAGGAAAACAGCTAGAAATGGAGGTTTTGGACGGCAAAAGAAAGAAACAATAGAGGGATGACGGCTGAAAGATAAAAAGCAAGAAAGGAAGCGAGGAAAGGAGAGAAACCGAGAGAGGGCTAGAGAGAAAGAGAGTTAGCAAAAGAGAGATAGCCAGAGAGGTGATGCGGAAAGAAATAGAGAGAGGAAGAATGGCTGGTAAACCAACTATGAAGGGATAAAGTCTAGGAAGCAAGAAAAATCGAGGGGGTGTCTGCAGTGGCAGAGAAAGGAGAGCCACTGGAATTGCTAACCCTCACGCCACCAGTAGTTGCGAATCTTCATCAAGAAAGCATGAGTACTGTAAGTTCTTTTTCTCCTTTAAATTCCAGTATCTCTTCAAAACACAGACATCTTTAAATTTTCAAAGCATGTGTTTTCGTGACTTTGCTCATGGGAAATTCACTGTTTTTGTTGTCTAATCTTCCGCCCCTTCTGTTTCATGTTCCCCAAGACTGTGTTTTCTTTGTTTATGAGTGAAAAATCAAATCTTGTGGCTGTGCGTGGGTCGTGTTTGAATTGGTATGGTTGAAAATTTGTGAACCTAAAAAGCCCTCAGCTTTGCATTTTCCTTCCCCAAAATCAAATAGATGTGATCCGTGGGTTTTCTCTTGGGTGATCCCTGATGTTCCAAAGATTTAATTTTTGATGGTTAAGAATGATTGAATCCTTGTTGCTGTTAAAATTTGTTGTTGTTGCGTGAGTTTACTAAACGTCAAAGCATCAGATAAGCTTCAGAAATTTGCTAAGGTCGCATGGTTTCCCTTCTGATTTTCATGTGTTAGCATCTAAAGTTTTATGGAAAAAGTAGAAAGCACGTTTGGTTCATACTGGAGTGTTTGGTTGCTTGAAGTTTGTACTCTCTTTGGCGTTCAGTTGGCATGATAGTGGGCTGTGGGCATGCTTGCCGTGAGTGTCATTACGCCTCTGCTGCAATTTCACGTTCAGTTGCGTTATGAAGCTACTAATGCTTGTAGTGTTTTCTTGATGCATGAAATCTCGGGTGCCTCTTGCTGTTTTGTGCTTTGGGTCATCTTTACTGCTTTAATCCACCCCACGAAATGTTTTAACATTGGAATTTGTTAATATGATATTTGGAATTCCGGGTTGAATGATGAAAAGCTGCATTTCGTCCTCATTTTTGATGTTCTTCCTTCTTCACGCAACAACCTACAAAGCTGGACTTTCATCATCTTGTTTGCATACTCCATCTTGTGTCAATAAAGGTTGTAGAAGAGTTAATGAAGCGTGAGTTGTATTTAAACTTTTGCCATCTTGTTGAGTTGCTAAAGAGGATTGCAGAAGAGCAACTTCAGCCTGCCGAAATCTATTGCAGAAAGTCTCTTTAGCTGCTGTATTTTTTTTTTGACAGAAAGCTTTGCCGGAATTCTTGTTTGCATAAAGATCCTCAGTGTTCCTGATTTTGTCATCCCCTTGTATGCATGATAAGCTTGATAAGAACTTGAGATTGGGTTTGTGGTT